ATATATATATATATATATACATATATACACACACACACACACAGAGATACATACATACATATATATATATATATATATATATATTTATATATAAATACATGTGTGTATGTATGTTTGTATATATATATATATATATATACTATCGAAGCAAGGATCATCGAATTGCACGTATAGCTTCCAGATGATTGCTACTTTGCGTTTGTGTCATAGTAATGGTTCCCGTTCATCGGGGACAAGCACATCCATGGCGAGTGTTTTTTTCAATTGTATTGAGACCAGGAGTAGATGTATATACTCATGATAGTACTAATGCAATGACCATCTGCTCACTCGATAGGCGATTGGGAGTCTGGTATCAAAGCGTACCGTCACTGCGTGACATTGAACGACACCAACGGTGAGTCATGGAATAATTTGGGCACATGCTATATCCGCGTGGAGGACTTCGAGAAGGCCATGAGCGCGTTCAAGTATGCGGCAAAGAACAGTTACGATAATTGGAAGGTTTGGGAGAACTACTTCAATGTGAATCTTCAGCTGAAATTGGTCAACGAGTGCATAGAGTGCATGAACCGGCTGTTAGACCTGAAGGGCAATAAGTTCACGGATGTCAAGGCTATGCAGTATACCAATGATGCGGTGATGGCCAAGATCGACGGTCTGGGAGGTACACATGAAGGTATGTGATTGCGTAGTGTGTATATAGTTTACGTAAAGGATAAGCAGAGTTTGCGTATTAGCTTGAATCGGGATTAAGACGAGCATGAGGATACCGCTCTGGTACCTCGTTACTTTCGTTCTAATTATCGGTGATTTGCACGTGAATATCTCGAGATTCGACCCGTTTGAAGGTAAGGCGGTGACTAACTTTAACCCCCGCCCTCCGGTTCTCCTGGTGCGAGTGTGCTTTCTGCTTACTCGTTGCGTGAATGTGTTGTTGAGCTGACGGGTTTTAGTTTTCCAGCCAAACACTGTGAACCGAGTTTTAACCTTTGGCGAGGCCCTCCGCATGATCTATTCAAACCCTCATTCTAATGCTAATCTGTCTGGTTTTGTGTAAAACTATAGCGCGCACACTAAGCAAAAGGTGGCAAGAAACACTCGGGCGGACGCAGGTGGGTGGTATGTCACAGAATGTTGAGATCTGGAACATATCCGCCAAGTGGCACACTTACTGCGGCAACGACGAGAAGGTAAGGTGCTTGCGTTATTAATCTGTTTCTTCCATTACAGATTTCACTTGCCTCTGGAGATTGTCACAGAAAGTGTGTCGATGTACAAATACCGGCAATGCTAAGGATCGATCTTTTTGGCACTTCGCTATAATGGAAGTGAACATTTCATGTGTGGATTAAAGAGTTAAGTCTAAAGTCCTCCTTCTTACTCGCGGAGTGTGTGCTTGTGACTAAGTTTATAAATTCACGCTGTTCACAACCGCATTTAGAATCCACCAGCAGGTCGTCATTGTTCTCTACAACCCTGATATTTAGGAATTGGAACGCATAATCTCGGAACAGAATATACTAGCGTGTCTTAGTCTGTTCAAATATAATCTCTTGGTCACCTTTGCACAGAATTTTTTGACAGTGCCCTAATTTATCTATTTTACACTCGTGGCCACCTTAGGTGCTGGATTGCCTGCAACGAGCCTACCGAAGCTCGCAAAAACCAGCATGGCAGGAATCCAGCGAGCTTGGTTCGTGTGTAGTGACCCAAGCTTTGAAGATTTATGATGTATACGAAGCAAAGGGTGATGCTAAGGGCTTCCACTCCGCTTTATTAATGCTGCGAGGACTGGTGAAGAAAACACAGGTAGGTGCCAGCAGCTTTTATAGTACGTCTTCGCATATGCGTTTGATATATGAGCCTGACTTTGAAACCTTTCGGCGCCCACTCGAACTCGTACATATGCAGAACACTTGCTTGTTCTCTCTGACTGTCCTGCTGTTTATAAGTGTCTGAATGGAATTCATCCACTTATATGTATATATGTTTTCTGATTTCGTTGTAGGATATCGAATTATCTGACGATTTGAGACCGAAATTGGAGGCCGCGCTGGAAGAGTGTCAACGGAGGAAAGAACAGGCCCGTCAATAATTCAATGGACCATTAAAGTTCAAATAATATTCGCTCACGAACTGGCTGCAATGACCAAGCACCTCCAGCGGTATACCTACAACTATGCTCGCCGAAACTGTGCTCTTGGTAGCAAGGTTTCTGCTGCAGTATATACCACAATGTGTATATCTCTATAACATATCTCGCTGGATAGAACCGTGTGAGCGGCAAACGAAAAGAATTTCACATATATTAAATCTTCTATAGTAGAGCTTTTTGGTGCGTTGCAAGGTTTCTGCAGCAGTAATGTGTATCTCGCTTCAACATAACTCGCTGGGTAAACCCGTATTAACGGCAAACGAAAAGATATTTTTATGATTTAGTCTTCTACGAAAGAGCCTTTTAGTGCACAATGCTGGTCGAGTACACATCTGGATTCACAATGAAATGATTACCGGAAGGTCATGATATTCCCTTGTCGGCTTATATGAACATCCACCATACTCTCAGCCAATATGGTTTCTGATATATATATCAGTAATTGCTGCATAAACGATGACCAAGGAAATGGATATTCCTTCTCAATGCAGTACAACAGAAACCTCTCGGTACCCAACATAGAAACTTAATGCTACAGCTTCAAGCCTTCAACACTGTGGCAATGTGTCGTGCGCTCGCACACGCACGGCCTACTAAAAATAGACCGTATTAAATACTCATTTAGCAGGCCTCGATATACATCTATGACCTTGGTGCGTACATATTTCAGCTTTACAATGAACCGGGTCTCTCTCTACACAGTCCGTACACACACTCTCTCTACAGAGAGAAAGAAATACAACACAGCCATGAGCCAGAGAATCACAACAAAGAAAAAATTCATTTCGTTTTTAGAAAAAAACAATCACGACTTGGTCGCTAGGAGCCTTGGAAGTTGGACTTGGTCTTGGGACTTGGGTCTTGTTGGGTGAAGTCTTGGACAGTTGGATGCCGTACAGCCGTAAAAACAGGGCATGGGAAACTAGGGATTGGGGAATGAAATGTTTCAATTTTTTTTTTAAATAATAGAAGGCTATGTGAAAAGCCATGGCCCTCTCTCTACTCTGAGAGAAATTGTCGCTGGTGTGATGAAAAAAAATGGATTCTCCCCACCCCAGCTGCAGCAGGACAAATCATTTCTGAGACAATTCCAGAGGGCCATGGAAAAGCCGACAAGTAATTTTTAGATGTGAACTCCACTTTTTATACTCCACCACTCCCAGTGAGAGCCTGAGAGCCTACAAAGAAAGAAGGGGAAACCCCGTCAGCCCGCCAAAGCAGTCTCACGAAGTCACGACTCACAAACGAATTCCTTGTGTCTCTCTACAATTCTACATAGTACAAATATTGTGTATTTGATTTTGTTTTTTTGTTTTCTTTTAAAAACAAAACAAAATACATATGTACGAGTATAAAACATACCACAGACCAAGAGACCTAAGAACACGGACTCTCATTCACACAGTGACAGAATATCAGTTGAAGTCTTTTAAAAACACATCCTATCACTGCGCTATGTACTTGCACAGATGAAAGCGCCAACGCACGACACAACACTATGGACAGCCGAGCAGTTGCAAAACTTTATCGCTATCTGCCATGTGCCGACTGTGTTCAAAGGAGCCGCAACTAAGTGGCCTGCATCGAAGTGGACTCCTGAAATTCTCTCGGAACTCTTCGGAACCTGCCCAGTCGAGTATGTATATTGTAGGTTTAAAAATCGTTCAATATAAGTAGCTATACACACACACACACTCACTCACTCACTCACTCACACTCACTCACTCACTCACTCACTCACACTCACTCACACACTCACTCACACTCACACACACACACACACACACAT